TTCCCCTTTGAATTGTTCGCCGCCCTGAGTCCTCCCGGAGAAGGGCGGCATACAAATAATAAAATACCAAATACCAAATCTCATATATTAGTTTCACCTTTTAAGTTGCATTACTGAAATAAATGAACTTTTGCATGATATTCTAATTTTTCAAGTTTCACCTGTATATGAAAAAATATTAAAGACAGGCTGATCTTGTAAAAGAAGGACTTTGAAAGAACCTAATATGGGAACTACTTGGGCCAGTAAGACTCTCTGTCCCCATATGCTGTCCTTTAGAGAAACTCCCATGAGTATAATTAAATTGACATTCTATTCCTAATCAAATTTCTAATATGGCTTGCTTGGTATACAGTGAATTAATATTTAAAGAATTGTACTTGCATATTTTTTTTCATTACAAAACGGTATATAAATTAAACCATCTTTTCAGAACAAGAGTATTTTTTCAGTTCCAGATTTCTAGAAACATGAAAGTTTTATTGGAAGTTATGTGTCTGGGGTTCTGCTTAGAGGTTGCAGTTGCAAAACTTGCAAAACAATGTAACATCACTGGAACCCATTTTTCTATTCACACTTCTTTTTCATACTTGAGCCTCCAAATCATTTTCCTATTCTTTTATTTTCACTCATTGGTTTATATAACCTTACAGAATGTTTTCCCTCACAACATATTAATTCAGAATGTCACACAATAGTCAAATAAAATAAATATAATATAAATGATTTAAAAGGCAATATAGACAATAGTACCTCAAACAAGATATATATCAAGAGCAGTTATAATAATGATACTAAGTACAGCATGAAATCTCAAAAATAGAGTCAATAAGTCAACTACACCTCCATTGCCATTTCAAATGTAATTAATTTTCACTGTTAGAAGTAGGTCCAATGGCATTCCAATGGCTATAACAGCATGGTTTAAACACAGTTCAGTTCTCAGAAAAGTCATTTTTCCTTTAAATAGAAGGAGGAAAGAAGAGGAGAAATGCAAATAGCTGATGCTCTTGGAATTCAAGTGCATGAGCTCATTGCATCTATTTTATGTGTACATAAAATTTAAATGAACTACCATGAGAATAAAAAAATGATTGCAATTTCCATTTGTATAGTTATGTAACTTTTAAATTTAAATTTCCTTTGTAGTGGTATAATTCTTGCTATCAAAACTGAATTGAAATTGAACCTAGTTGATAGAATACTTTTTATTTTTATGGAACTCCAGTATTCCAAATATTGCTGTCAAATCTGAAGCTTCCATAGACATTCAGTGTTCACCTTTAAGATGCAACTTTATCGGTGACTTTGTAATATTATCTGCTTCAATCCCTCGCTTTCTTTATTTCTACTTTAGATCTCATCAAGTACATCCCATTCAGGTCCTTCTGAATTAACGAAACAGTGTGGGACATCAGCATTGTTTCAGCTGGCAGAGGTAGTATTAAAATCCTGTGGCTTAATTACTACTGGTACATTTGGGAAATAGAAGCTGAATGATGCTGGTTGCCAAATTCTAGGAAATAGAGCTATAGTACAGACATAATTAGCATTGTTGTTTATAGAAGCCTAAATTACTGTTCATGCCAAGAATCTAGATTTATCTTGTCTAACCATTAGGCATGTAGTCTCTGTAGTATCAAGAAGTTACAAACAGTTAGCTTCAAGAAGCAGTAGCCTACTAAGGTAGAGCATAATTGTAAAGTGCATACAGTTGTTCTCTTAAATAGTTTTAAACATTTCATATCTTTAAAGGAAGAAGTTCATATAATGATGCATGAATAAGTTGTACCACTCATTACTAGATATTTATGGGCCTTGACCAGTTGCAAACCATAAAAGAGAAATCATGGAAACTATTTCTCATTCAGAGAGCGTAGTTCTTAAATCCATCCAAATACTAAACTATAAGGCATCCTTTTCCCAATATGTCCCAAAGCAATATGCCAAGAGCACAATACCCTTTTAGCACTCTTGCTTCCACAGATAAGTATCTTAAAGCTGTAGCTACATGATCTCTGCCTCACCTTACCATTCTCAAGCCTGTCAGTGTCTCAGAGGTAATAATTAATCAAGAATAAATTACTTTCTAAAGATACCTTATTGTTTAAATTATATGCCTTGCCCTCTATCATTGTCTTTTTTTCACAGTTGGTGATTTACAGCTCTCAATAAAGATAGCAAACAAATAGGGGTAAATTATTGTTTTCTATATTGAATTAATTCCCTCAAATGTACATTTCATGATTTGGTCAGAAAGGGAAAAGAAAATAATTGTAAAGAACTTTCTTTGAGAGTTGCAATGTAAGATTTTAGGCACAGTCAAACGTGAACATAAATATATAATTCATTGAAATTTCATATCTGTGTTTTGGTATATGGGACATATCTATATATTTGCACTGAAAACCATCCAAATGCCAATAAATTATTATTTTTCAGACAACATGTATAATATACTTTTACTATTATTTTAATGCATGCAACTTTTAAAAACAAAAATGAAAGAAAAAGCAGTTTCAGGAACAATATTCTAAGTTTCCAAGGGAAGGCAAACAAATGACAGATGAATTATAACATATTTTGAGCAATACACTGTACAAACATTTGAGTGTATGTAAAACATTTAAACTATCATTCTTTTCTTTTTGAAACATTTTTAGAGGTAAGACCTTAATTGACTTGGTATCCAGAGGGTTCAGTTCTTTGTCATTTTTAATGAAACAAACACTATTAAGTATATGTCTGGTATCACGTCCCTTACAAATTATACAATAGCCTCTATGTGTAAATTCAGTGCACACAATTTGCAGTAAAATACTGCATTTTGTAATAAAATATTGGCAAGCAGTCTAACTCCTATGCAAGAAATTTATTACATATATACAGTATAAACATCTACATTGTGTTCTTAAGAAATAGCAGTGTTATGCAAAACACAAACATAATAAAATAATAATGAAACCAAACTATTTAAAAGACATGAGATAAAAATAAAAAGGAAACATAACTAGAATAAATACCATTCACTTTATTTCTCCATACAGCTAGTCTTTGTTTTACAACAGTTCATTTAGTGACCATTCAAAGTTACAACAGCACTGAAAAAGTGACCTATGACCATTTTTCATACTTATGACCATTGAAGCATTCCTCATGATCAAAATTTGGAAGCTTGGCAACTGACTCATATTTATGAGGGTTGCAATGTCCCAAAGTCATGTGATCACTTTTTGTAACTTTCTAACAAGCAAAGTCATTGGGGAAGCCAGATTCATTTAACTACTACTGTGATTCACTTAATAACTCTGGCAAGAAATGTTGTAAAATGTGACAAAATTCACTTAACAAATGTCTTACTTAGCAACAGAAATTTTGGGCTCAATTGTGGTTGTAAGTTGAGGACTACCTAGTCTTACAAATTGTATGAGCTGCCTTTTGCTATTTAAATTTCTTTATCAATTCCAGTTTTCTTAGTCCTTCCCATTCTCTGGAGCCACTCATTATTTATATATTTGATTCTCATTCATTCTGTCCACATGATCAAACAAAGATAATGTATTGATACTGTCAGTTATGCTTTATATTCATTCCCTCCTTTTTAATGCCCTTAAAAAAAACTATTGACACTCTGGAGTTTTTTGGCATCCATATATAGCCTGTTATCATTCACTTCATTTTCCTTATTAAACACTGGAAACTTTGTCTTTGATAGATTAATTTCAGTTCAGTATTCATCATTGTGTCAGATATGCGGCAATTTAAGCTAGTATGCTAGAAATGAAACCAGAGCCTACTTTTAAATCAAGCATAGTTGACTCAGCTTTCCATCCATCCAAGGTCTGTAAAATGAGAACCCAGATTGTTGGGGGCAATATGCTGACTATGTAAACTGCTTAGAAGGGGCTGTAAAGGACTGAAGTGATATATAAGCTAAATGCTACTTACTATTGCTATACTCGTGTTATTCTATGGAGGACAGAATCTGTACAGAGACAGAATCTCACAAGTCAGCACAATCCTTTTTACATCCTACCAACTTTGAGGCAAATGCAGCATGCTGACAAATTCAAACGGCAAGAAATTTATTAAATTAAGAATTTTATGCTTTTATAAAAGCTTTTTTAATATGAAACTCTGAAAGAATGTCAGCAAAGCTATAATTGCCATTTTATTAGCTTTACACCAATACATTATTATTACACGTTTTATATATATTTTCTTTGGAATTGTTTTAATAGCAACAACTTTGTAGATGAAACTGAGTCTAAAACTGATATGTTGGATCTGTTCCTGAGGTACAGCTGTTATTTAAAACCTCTTACATTAGGTTCCATTGTATACAGTANTATTTATATTCTTTATATGTTCAATTATACATGCCACACAGTCACTTTCATTGAGATTGGCAGCTTTATATACTTGATTAATAAATAAATAATGCTCAATTATATTGTGGCCACAAATATCATTTGTGTTATGTGTCATTTGAAAAATAAACAGTTGATATCGGATAACCTAAAGTTTATTTTGAAAAAATATCTTTCCATCAGATTTCTTCAAATCTGCCAAAGGGAACTGTTCCTGAAAATACAAAAGAAAGTGATGAATCAGCTCTACTTCAGTTCTCAGAGGTAAAACAATATTATTATTTTTTTAAAAAGAGATGAAATAACTCTCAATTTTATAAAAATAACATGTAGCTGTTGTTTTAAATTTTGTTGTATATGGTTTTAATCCCAATTACATATTGGATAGTTACACAATGCTCAAATGGAGGTTGGATTGGCAATATAATAAAACAATGCAATATAATGTGCAGAACACATAGTAAGGATATTTCACATATTGATTCTAGCACTGATTTGAATACAGGTAGTCCTTATTTAGCAAACACATTTTAGACCAGCAACTCAGTCATTAAGTGAAACCGCAACTTTTCTTATATCTTACATCAGCTTTCCATCAGCAAAGGTTGTAAATGCTAGGATTAGTCCCTAGTTATTTTTTCAATATCCTTATAATTGCAAATGATCAGTTACAAATAAGGCTGTCACTAAACATGGACTACGGTATTATCTTTTGATTTGAGTATTTGTGTAAATTACTAATCTGATATAACAAATTTAAGTAATATGTTGAAATGTAGTTCCCTCTTCTTGAAGTTACTGAGAAATATTATAGTATTATACTTGTAGTATGTACATATACAGTATCTATTAGTTATGGATTGTGTATATGTTTAATAATTCAGAGAAAACTAAAACAGTAGTCAGTATTCTAAATATCATTGAGAAATATGCTTTAATTCTGCTATATGTAAAACTTTGTTCCATCCTCACATGTTTTTTCACAATTTTTCTATATCAGTCTTTTCCCTACTTTAATATTTCTTGCACATTTTTCTTATTTTCATATTTTCCTCATTTTAAGATTAAAAATTTCTAAATTCATTAATTTATTCTTTCTCATTTAATAGTGTGCATAATAATTCTTACAATTTATCAAATTTATTGTAGCATCTTGGGACCAATTTTGAAATGAAAATATCAAAGGCTGACCACTAGATAGTGAGACTACCAATTTTTTGTTTAAGAAAAAGAAAAGTTTACTTCCCCACAATCATCTGTTTCTTTTTAGAATGTCAAAGATGGAAAAAAGGAAAGCATAGTTGGTTGTTTGACTTATGAAACCAGGAACTGATTGTAGAATAGATCATAAATTGCTCATTTGTAAATTTCCAATTAAGCTAAAGTAGTAGTGAGCCAGTTTCCACAATATGATCTTGGGTATCTACCATCATTTTTAAAGTGAGAACCAAAGTTACTTTGAAATGCTGAAACTTACTGATGGGGCCTCAGAAGAACTGTGGAAAAAATGAGACATGGTTAAGGTTGAATGTAAAAAGGCACTTGGTCTACCGTAAAATTGTGACTTTTAGGATAACTGTGGCAGAACAAGACAGGTTATGCTAGCACTGCCAAAATAAAATATCCTAAAAGGAATAGGTTTTCCGTGTACGTGTTAGTTTTCCCTTAAAGGACTTAATTCCTTCCTGTTTATTTTAAAATATGTATCTCTTCACTTCCAGTTGAAGGGTCCTGAGCCAATCAAGCACTATAGAAAATCAGCACTTTTCCAGTTGGCTGAGGTAATCTTGTTTTATTAATTTTATGAACTGTGCAAAAGAAGCACCAGAAGTATATTCCAAAGGATACAGTTGAGAATTGTATATGTAAGCACAGATCACCCCAATTATTAATGTGATGTAACTTATTTTTAGAACACAAATCAATTTTATATCAGATCAGTGAATGTTAAATCTGCTTGTAAAATGCTTTTACAGATAGTAAGAGAAGACAGATATTAATAGTTTCAGCAAAAGTTTTACCGATCTGTCTTTTCTATAATATATGAAAGGTAGATAGATATGCATAAACTGCAAAACATTGATCATCACTTTGAAGCATACACCACTTCTTAAATGGTATAGAAAATTTAGAATTTGCTAAGGAAAAGTTATGTTTATTTAAAATACCTGGCTTAAGCCACGGTCTATTAATGCATAAACATGGCAAATGAATTTATCTGAAAACATGAATTGAATGTTGAAAGCCAAGAGATTTAGGGTGGGATGCAAGACTGAGGAAAGGTTCTGAACTCTAGTTTGCTTTTGGGGGAAAATGAATATGATGAAAATAAACAAACAAAAGAAACTTAGAGTGAAAACAGAATTGCAAGGATAGAAAATGCTGGCCTACAGGTGAAACTCGAAAAATTAGAATATTGTGCAAAAGTTCATTTATTTCAGTAATGAAATAAAAGGTGAAACTGATATATGAGATAGACTAATTATATGCAAAGCAATATAGTTCAAGCCGTGATTTGTCATAATTGTGATGATTATGGCTTACAGCTCATGAAAACACGAAATCCACAATCTCAGAAAATTAGAATATTGTGAAAAGGTGGAATATTCTAGGCTCAAAGTGTCCCACTCTAAACAGCTAATTAAGCCATAACACCTGCAAAGGGTCCCTGAGCCTTTAAATGGTCTTGCAGTCTGGTTCAGTAGAATCACAATCATGGGAAAGACTGCTGACCTGACAGTTGTGCAGAAAACCATCATTGACTCGCTCCATAAGGAGGGAAAGCGTCAAAAGGTAATTGCAAAAGACGTTGGATGTTCCCAAAGTGTTGCCGGCTGGCGGCGCCTAGGAGTAGGGCCTTCTCTGTTGCCGCTCCGGCCCTATGGAATGAGCTGCTCCCAGAGATCCG